ACACACACACTGATGGGCCTGCTGCCGGCTTCTCTCCTCTTGGGGGCACATGTATATGGGGGTTTCTCGCAGGACACTTCTCAACTTTGGGTGTATGTACCCTCTAAGGCTGCTTCTGAGACACGGTTTAAATTCAAAAGTCCCTCATTCCCAACATTTGGGTAATCCTCGCCCCTGAGCCTCTAGGGTGGGGATATCCCAGAAGTCAAGGCCTGCCGCTAACTTAGGGAGATCAAAGACCAGGTCTGGCCACCAGGCAAAAGATGGGCGTTCCACTATAGTGGACCAAGCCACATCCCCAGTGGCTGAGAGTACTTGCTGAGTCACTTTGGTTGGGGTGGGGGGGGGGCTGCTGAAGCTCAGCACAGGAAGGAAGATACAGCCATCTAATGGTCTCTTTGGCCTTGCAGAATGGCAGGTGATCTTGGGCTTGAGGGGGTTGCTCAGGTGTCTGGCTGCTCTCCAGACGGCATCAGGTGCCAACTTTGCTCACTCGTGTGGAACCTCTGGGGTACCTGCGTTATACAGGTCACTAAGTGTAGGCCACAGTTCCTGGTGGCTGATCTGGAAAGCTTGTAACTGAGCCATAAGAGCCTTATCAGCCTGAAAATTCACTTGGGGGGGGGGTCAAGAGTCGGGGTCAAGGGACTGGGGAGCCCAGACAGGATGGATGCTCTGGGCTCAGAACAGGACCAGGGCAAGGGCCACCACCCAGCCAGTGCCAATTTCCGAAGGCAATATTGTTAAGGTCTCTGTTTAGGGGATTCTGTTCATTTCCTCTACCTGCCCTGAGCTCTGGGGACAGTAGAAAAAAAGGAGCTTTTAATTAGTCCCCAGTATCTCAATATCTCTGCCAATCCCTAACTTACCTTAGAAACAAAAGCAAGACCATTATCTGATCTAATTACCTTGGGTGCTCGAAACTTCAGGAAGATTTCTTCTAAAATCTCTCTCTCTCTCTCTCTTTTTTTTTTTTTGGTGGTGGTTTTGTTTTTCTAAATAGGGTTTCTCTTTATAGCCCTGGCTGTCCTGGAACTCACTCTGTAGACCAGGCTGGCCTCAAACTCAGAAATCCACCTGCCTCTGCCTCCGAGGTGCTGGGATTAAAGGTGAGCACCACCACTGCCCAGCTTCTTCTAATATCTTGATGGCGACCATGGTATCTGGTTCTTGCTTGGTGGAGCAAGCCCCAACCTATCCAGAGATAGTATCTACAAATGCTAGAGGGTATTCGTAACTATATTTTCTTAGCTTAGCTTCTGTAAAATCAGCCTCTCAATATACTCTAGGCTGTTCTCCCCTAGGTCTTTTGCCATGTTTACTCTTGGCTGCATAAGCATTTACTTGTTGGCATACCTTACACTGTTCTACTGTATCTCTGGCTAAAACCCTGAAGTCTGTTATATATATACCCTGGATCTCTTGACTGCTTGGGTATGCTTATTTTTCAAATGAGTCTTTCTGTGCATTTGGCCTAGTAAGTCTCTTGCTTGCTTTCTGGGGAGTATAGTTCTCCCTTCTTGTGTGCACCATTGTCTTTTCTTCTCTAGGTAATAGTTGGTAGGGTGGCTAGCAATCTGAGTCCTTTCTTCTTCCGTGTGGTTTATGTGAGGCCACCCCTTAGTCCAGTCCCATTCCCCAGCAGTGGGTGCCTCTTGCAGGCCCATAACCAGGATAGACTCCTGCATGGCCACTTCTCAAGCCACTTGATCTACCTGATTATTGTCTCGGGCCACTGAATCTATTCCCTTCTGGTGTCCTGGGAAATGAATAGTACAGTTGCCGGCTTCGTCAGGGCATCCAAGAGACCCAAGATTTCTTCTGATGTGAACAGTCTTCTCTCTTGGTATATAGCGGCGTGGGCTGTGGCAAAGGCATACCTGCTGTCTGTGTAGATATTAATTTTCTTGCTGGTGCCAAGTTCCAAGGCTGCTTTCTGTGCTGACATGCCCAGGAGTGAGGAGTAGATGTTCAGCCCAGATGACATTTCGCCGTCCACCACAGCAGCACCAGTTTGTCTCTGACCAGCATGGAGAAAACTACTCCTGTCTGGAAAGCAGGTTGTTTCAGCTCCCAGCAGAGGTGGGTTGGAGAGGTCTTCCTCCACCCATGAGTTCTCCCTTTGGGCCAGTTAGCTGTGCCCTGTGATGACCATAAATGAATGGGATACCCGGCCTATCCCTAGGTCCACTGTTCTTCGGGTAGTCCATGAATAATACATTTTGGTGCCAGTGGCTCCTTGGAACCAAGATCTTTTCTTGGAAAAGGGGCCATTGACTTGGAGGAGGACCGAGTGTTGACCCTCTGTGTCCACTAAGAGTTAAGTGGGTTTCCCCTCCAATTTTAAGGTTACCCTGGGCTCAGGAGGGGGTCAAAACCCCATCTACCTAAATCACTGTCTTTACCCAGGGCTAACACCTTCATTGTTTGGGAGTGTTTTTCCCAAAGCCTGGGATTTCCTGCCCCCAACTTCCATTTGTTAGGCCACTCTCGGGCCCAGCAGCTCCTCTACTTGCAATGTGCACGCTGGTCATTTTCAAGGAGTTTTCTGTCTCTCTTTAGTTGGAATCTCCCTTCTCTGCTTTCCCTAACTACTGTAGCCAAGATTCTCTGTACATTCCCTTCCTGTTGCCTTTCTTTTTCTCTTCTTTTTCTTTTCTCTGCTCTTTTTCTTTGTCTCCTTGTTATGGTAGACTTCCTCAGCAACCTACACTAAATCTTTTAATGACTTATCCTGCAGTCCCTTTAGCCTCTGAAACTTTTTCCTGATATCTACTAGCCTGATCTGTAAAGGCCATAGTTATACTGACAGAATGCCTCTATGAGCCACTGTGGGTGACTCACCTAAACCCCACCACCTTCAGACCTGCCAATGGAGTCTGGTGGTAGGCTTTTAGGTGCCCCTTACCTTCTACTGTACAAAAGTCTCAGTGAGATCTAGTTAGACGAAACCCGCTGTTGACCATATATAGCCTGGTCAATCAGGGGTGTCCCCATGTCTGAGGGGACATTCTTTCTGGCTTCCTACCTTATCCTCTCTCACTCTTCAGCCCTGAAGAGCACTAGAACAGTCTCAGAGAGATTAATCATCCCCTCTGATGTGTCTAAACTGGATCTAGCTGGAAGTCCAGGACATCAGGAGTTCAAACAGGTCAGTTAAACTTGCCTGGCGAGGAGATGTATTCACCAAGGCTGTGTATGTTCTGTAATATACAAGCCTCAGAACAGATTTTAGCATAGTGAAGATAATTTTTTGTTTGATTCTCTGGAATCTAGTCTTCTGGGGGCCCACCTCTGTCATGTCTACTCTCTATAAAATCTGGGAGGTAATACCTCCCAGTAAAATACCTCAATCACCTCTTCTAAAATCACACAGAACCTTTTCCCCAAATCAGCATATCCTTGAGCCAGTAACCAGAAAAACCTTTATATTGATCCCTTTTCCAGAGGAAAAATGTAAAAACAAAACTGAAAATCAGACCCATTTTGAAAATTAATACAATCTATATTTTTTTTAAAAATGAAGTAACTAAAGTACTGTACTACTTCTTAGACCTTTCCTATTTTCCCAAGCAGGATAAAACCCAAGATTCCCATGTGGCCCACATTAATAGAATTTGAGTATCCTGTGAGGCCTATTAAAGCAATATATCTTATGGCATCTTTCTGTTCAACTCTCTTCCCAGAGCAGCCTGTAGTCATTGTCGAGAGCCCTGACTCTTATATGTTATGAGCAGATTGTGATAAGGTTTTAGTATCCCCGCAGGGAGAGGAGCGACAGATCCTCCTCCACTCGGGGATTGGGGATCGTATGCTGGATTTGACCGTGAGATTATCAGCTCCACGGGAGGGGAGAGAGTACAGCAGAGACGGAGGTTTTGGCATTCAATTGCTCTTTAATGGTGCACAGCAGACAATATATTATCACCAGTGCTAAGGCTATTCCCACAATGAGGTATTGCCACATTTCCTATGCATTGCTTTTAATATCAGCACAATGAACACAAATAATAAATTGCTATTTACCAAAGAAATAAGCATAGCAATAAATACGTCATTCAATCATGGGTTATATGACCTGAGTCCTTGTGATGGTCTTGGTTAACTCTTTGATGGCCGGGAGCTGAGGAAGCTTGGTGGAGGCTCACGTCAGGCAGTCATGGCTACCAACGTGTTGATGAAGCGCTCTGATCGGGCTCCTCTTTTATGTTTGATTTGGCCTTACTGCTGATATGCACGGCAGATAACCACTCGTGTCTGGTTATCGCCAGGCTCTGACCTCATCACAGCTGGTTATCATACTTATTCAAAGCAACTTCACTTCGAGGCTTGTCCCTACAAGTTTCCTATTACCAAATGGAGTCGATCTTGTTAAGGGCCTGCTGCTTACAGTCATGCACTGCACCCTCTACTCTGGATCTGGATTCGGTGACAGTTTTCTCTTAGTTCTGGATCGCAGGCTAGATACCCCATGTGAATCGGACAAAACTGTTTTTAGATCGTTCCTAAAAACAAATCTCTCTGCCCTAAAAGTAGGTTACTTGATTTTTTTTTTCCTAACAAAAATCCACCTGCATTTTCTCACAGCAGGGGACCTCTGACTGCAAGCAGCGTCTTTGTTTCAGAGTGGTCATCCCCCCCCCCACCCCCACCCCCGTGCTGGAGTCACGTGACTCCCCCCTCCCCATTATGTGCTCACTTTTAAAAAAAAAAATTAAAAATGTGTAACTGTAACATAACTCTCAGGTAAATGATGTTAAATGTCTAGTGAATTTTTTGCCCGAAATTGGTGCGCCAACTGAAACAAGTGATATTTTGAAAAGCCGAGACAGTGCTGGGAAGGGACAGGGGTTTAAGGTGGCCAGGCCCCCCTGGGCTACCGAGTCTGCCACTCACACCACTCACACCACTGCCTGCTTCTTCCTGCCACTATGGCTAGCAGAAGTCGCCCTTCTCCTCCGCCAGGTTCTTAACCACCTGGACCCAGCCCATCTTCTCACCGGATGCCCTCAGATTCCTCCACACTGGCCACGGGGAGCAGGAGCTGTGGCCAGCCCCGCTGAGGCTCCTCTGCTCTGCTGGTGGCCATGTTACCTCTTTTCCCTAAACTTCCCTCTAGTGGTTAATCAGGATGTTTAGCAGGGTAGATCCAGTCCAAAAATAACGTAAAAGTCCAACAACACAAATAACGACAATCAACACACAGACAGTTCCGCCCCTGCCAAGGGCGCAGAAACCATGTTATACAGCTTTCGCCTTGCCCATGGGTGCAGAAAGTTCTCACGACCCGAAAATAACAGTTTCAGACAATTTGGCCGACATTCGCTGGACCAAATCTACAGGTTCCAAAAGGAGAAGGGTCCTCTCGGGATGAGAAGTTGAGGCACGTCTACCCGCCGCTGCGCTTGACCGACCCAAACACTGTGGGCTCTTCGAGCTCCCCAGACACAAGCAAACGGAAAGTTCAGACAGGCTTACAGACTTTGACAGAGAGGAGACAGACAAATAAACCGCGGGTACCTGCTGGAGACCTCTGACTCACCACTCTCGGGTATGTTCTCACAGGAGGTCAGATTCCTGTCCAATTCACCAAATGTAAGACTCTGGTGAGCCTTAGTCTACCGGAGACCCCCCATGAGTGAACAATGCGGAACACCCGGGTCTTGCTGCAAAAGCAAGAGGAATTTTATTGTTCCAGCATGCTGGGGTCATCTTGCATCCAGAAGGAAAGGCGAACTTGTGCAGCTCGTTCAGCAGACATTTTTACAGTTTCCAGGAGTAGCGTAGGGAAACAGCTGCTAGGCACAATATGATTAGCAGAAGAGTGTGAATTTTAAACTGATTGGTCTTTAGGGAATGAGGTAGCAGGGACTTCCCTTGTCTGAAGGTGGCCAAGGGTCCATCCTGTTAGATGTGTCCATGTACACTGGGCCTTCCCCACCTGCAGGTCTGTGACCTTCCCTGTTGTCTGAGGAATGTTGTTTAGTCTCTCTCTTCTGGGGACGTTCCTGATCTGAACAGGAATGTTAACTAGCCTCTCCATTCCTAAGCTGACCCCTTCACCACCACCCTGTCCAAATATTTTATCTTAGCTCCAAATTACTCCAACTCTTCGGAATTTAGAAAAGAAGTTGGAACTGTAGTGATCTTTTGAATTTACTTAAAACACCTTTAAGTCTCTTAACTGTTTTATTTTTTTATTTTTATTTTTTTTGGTTTTTTTTGAGACAGGGTTTCTCTGTGTAGCCCTGGCTGTCCTGGAACTCACTCTGTAGACCAGGCTGGCCTCGAACTCAGAAATCCACCTGCCTCTGCCTCCCAAGTCCTGGGATTAAAGGCGTGCACCACCACTGCCCAGCGTATTCATAATTTCTAATAAATGTGTAGTTATAGAGTCAGCCTTTTCAGAACTTAAAGCAGTTGTCCATTGAAATGTTGAATATGCATCTATGGTGCAGTACACAAATTTTAATTTCCCAAACTGCAAACTGAAACACATCCATTTGCCAAATGTCATTCCTTTGGGTGCCTTTTGGGTCACTTCCTGCGGGGAACGGAGTTTGGTTATACGAAGAATAAGTAAGACATTTCAGTGGCTTGTTGCCAAGTGATAGGAAAAAAAAATCTTTCTTCAAGCCTTTGCTGTTAACATGTTTCTTGTGAAGTTCGGAGGCATCTAGGAAATTTCATATTAGTAGCTGATTGATTTCATTCCTTGTGCTAGAGGGGCTGGCAGACCTACATGGGATTTGATATGTGTACATTGTATACAATGGATGATTTCTACTTTTTGTTGTAGTGAAATAAACAGCAAAGTTAATTCTGAATCATCTTGATTAAGTTCAGCACTTTCAATATGCAAAACGACTCTTTCTGCAATTTGAGAATCAGTAACTATATTCAGAGGTCAAGGAAAATCTAATACCGTAAGAATGACATACAACTATGATTTGTTTTGTTTTGTTTTTGTTTTTTGAGACAGAGTTTCTCTGTGTAGCCCTGGTTGTCCTGGAACTCACTCTGTAGACCAGGCTGACCTCGAACTCAGAAATCCACCTGCCTCGGCCTCCCAAGTGCTGGGATTAAAAGGCGTGCGCCACCACTGCCCAGCACAGGTATGATTTTTTTAAACTAAATTATAAAGGCTTTGCCGGGCCGTGGTGGCGCACGCCTTTAATCCCAGCACTTGGGAGGCAGAGGCAGGCGGATTTCTGAGTTCGAGGCCAGCCTGGACTACCCTGTGAGTTCCAGGACAGCCAGGGCTACACAGAGAAACCCTGTCTCGAAAAACCAAAAAAAAAAAAAAAAAATTATAAAGGCTTTGAGCTACTTTACTTATTTTTCCTTATGACATGCCTTTCGTGATTTATTTGCTGATCAGTATAAAATTCAGGGGCTCCAGAAATTGGTGTCCCTTTGACCATATGAAGGAGAATACAGTTCTTTTTATAAATGGAACTCTCTTGCTTAGGAGATATTTGTTGTTAATTTCTCCCCCAAAATTACTGCAATCTCTTTGCCAGTGTTCATTTTCTGCCCATAATGACGCAATTTCAGCATTAGTAAAGAGTACCACAGTCTCAGTGGGGTCCATTCTAGCTAATTGACAAAATCTCGTTTTTCCTTTCAGTGTCAGTTTGGAAACTTTTCTCCATAGGTCTTTAATTTTTTTTTTTTACTCTGTTTCTGTGATAAGAAATGTCCATTCTAGCTGGGCAGTGGTGGCACATACCTTTAATCCCAGCACTTGGGAGGCAGAGGCAGGTGGATTTCTGAGTTCGAGGCCAGCCTGGTCTACAGAGTGAGTTCCAGGACAGCCAGGGCTGCACAGAGAAACCCTGTCTCAAAAAACCAAAAAAAAAAAAAAAAAAAAAAAAAAACAAGAAAAGAAAAAAAAGAAATGTCCATTCTAAGATAGTCTTTTCTCTGCATAAGAATTCCCATGGGAGAATGAGTAGAGAGGAAAATAACTAAATTCCAATCAGGCTTTGGATCCAACCAATCCGCACACCCATCCTGTCATTTCTATCAGAGCAGATTCTCTCTTGGCCTCAGCTGATACCGTTCTTGGACTGTTTGGGTCCTTATCACCTTATAAGGTTTGAAATCAATTATTAGTCTTGTGTAGTTAACCCTGTTGTGGGTCATAGCCAGTTAATAGCTCCCGGCAAGTTTTGAAAGTCATTAAGAGTTTATAATTGATGTTTCCTGACTTGTACTTTTGGTGGTCAAATTTTCTGTAAACCTATTTAATAGCCTAGAAAATTGATAGAATTTCCTCTTTTTTTTTTTTTTTGAAGAGTAATTTGCAATCCCCAACAAGGCAAAACTCTACTTCATCAAACATTTCTTCTAAGATATCTGTGCCTGAATTAGCCGGTAAGATGTCATCCATATAATGATAAATTTTAAAATGAGCAAACTGTGTATGAATTATTAACAACAGGTGTACAGAATATTGACACGGCGCTGGACTATTTGGAAGAACTTTCCAGGGATGCCTTTGATACAGGTTGAACATTATCATAAGCAGGTGCCGTGAAGGCGAATCTTTCCTTATCCTGTTTTTGTAAAGGGGACAGCAGTGTGATCCTCGAAGTTCTACCTCTGTATAGAGTTGTCCCACGCTGTGTTTACTCTACAAGACGGGGTTGCTAGCAGCTGGTGGTAAGTGACTATATTTAATATTAACTGTTAATATTAATATTAATTTAATATTAATAATATTAATTATTTAATATTAAATTAAATAATAATTTAATATTAATATTAAATTATTTTTCATTATTTAATAATGAAAAATAGAACAAACGTATTTACATTAAATGCAGGACACTTGGGTAACCCTGGGACCCGGACGTGACCCTAGAGTATCACAAGAGGTAAGTGTTGAGCTGTGGCCTGTTGCTGTGTATTGCGATGCTAAATACTGGCCCCCAAGTTCTGGTTGCCCCCAGGGATGAGGAAGTTTTCACGCACACCAAGTTATGCTATGTAACTTTGCGCCTTAATTTAAAGCTATTGACTGAGTAAAGATATACCACCTATAGCTGTGGGGAAGAGAGGTAGGCGGAGTTTATATTCCCAGGCTTGGGGTCTGAGGCAGGCCCATGAGAGGGAGAGAAAAGAGGGCAGAGAGAGAAGATGCCATGGTATAAAGGATCCTGAGAATCGGCCACAAGGGCTGGCCAGTCAAGAGTAAGAGCACTCCAGACGGAACATGGCAGGTCATTTCTCAGGGTTATTGGTAGGAAGTAGATGCTAATAGCTTAGAAGGTAGATATCTGCCCAGATCTAGTGCAGATTAAGACTTATTATAAAAGTTTTGTGTCTTTTATCTGGGGACTAAATGATCCGAGGCGGGTTAGAAACTCCCAATTGAGATTAAATATTTACTACAGCATATTGGCGAGCCAGACAAGTGGTAAGAATGTACAAAGTTGAGATTTAACAAAATTTCAGATTCCCGGATTAAAAAAATGTGCATTATCCCTTCAAGACTAGGAAGGCAGGGGAAATGGTTCCTTAATGTTGTTGTTGTTTTTCCAAGCCAAGTGGGGTTTGGGAAAAGGGTTGGAGTGAATGCTAGTTTGGTGCACGTGACTCCGGGGCTTCATAGCCTGAGATGAGACACAGCTACACCCAGTGAACTGACCTCACACTGTTCGGGAGAGCCCAGGAGCTACAGCGGCAGGCTTAAATACTAGGTAGCAGGGGCTCCTTCTGGTTGCTACTACCGTGTCGCCACTAAAGCACAGTTTTGGATGCTGGGGACGGATGTCAGCCGAGTTGCTTAGTCGAAGCGCAGTGTCTGAGCTAAAACACAGCAGACACAGGAGACAGAGGCAGGCAGATCTCCGTGAGTTGTGGACCAGCCTGGTCTGCACAATACAGTCAGGGTGGGACCCTGTGCTGACAGATACAGACACTTGCAAACAACGGTCTGGGATTCAAGATGACACATTTTTCTGCCCCTTAAAAGTACTATATTGGTTTTTTGCTTAATAATAGTTGGGAATGTCCTTAGTAATTAAAAAAAATAACTACACATCAATCTTAAGTTTATATAAAGAGAAAGGGGGATAGCGG